TGTGCTCCTCTCCCCTTGTTTCTGGTCCATTGTATTGTCTGCCTGTTCTGTTCAGTCCTGCTCCTGGTTCCTTTGGATTCTGAGTTTGTTTTTTTCCTGGACTTTTATTTTTTCATTATTAAATCATTATGTTTTGTATTCCTGTATTTTGGGTCCTTCCTCCTTTTAACCATGTGACACTCTTTCCATGTTGCCATTTTTCCGGCACCATGTGAACAGAACTGTCTACATACTGACATGACGGAAACACACATGGTTCTGATACCATTAGGAACAGGTGCACCATGTGAGATCAACCTGATGCTCTTTGCCTTTCATCATTTTATCGACCCCAAAAGTCAACACATGCCCGAAAAAAGTATATAAAAAATGTATATACACAGACATAACATACAGACAAGATTATGAAAGACCAGTGTTAAAGGAGACCCAAGACTTTATTTTTGTTAATATTTCCAAATATTAAAATTTTCTGAGGCATTTTATTCTGTTTTTTTTTAAATAAACTTCGAGCCTTACATCTAAACATCATAAGAGATAAAGGTTAGATATATCCCACTTTGCCTGTAATGAGTCCGTCATGAATAGTTTCACGTTTTAAATTGAATTACCTTAAATTGACTTTTGAGTGACTCCATTTTCACCTGTAAAAGCTTTGGGACTGCGCTATACAAATAACCTCACCTTGCCATTCTCACCACTTACACTTTTCTGTAAAATACACACAAAAAATCTCACCATCTTGCTTCGGGCATAATTGCTTTTTAATGAACAGTAAAAGAACAAAAGCACTTTGAGTTGGCTTTCCCAGTCTCTCTGTCATCTCTTACTCCCGCAGCCACACTCAGGCAAATGTTTATCCGCTAAACACAATTCTACTTTGAACCATCTTTCCCTAGTTTGAGGAAAAAGTCATTGTCAAACTTCTTCGGCACAAACTTTCGGCATTAGCTGGCCTCGTCTTGATCCGCCCCCGCCGTAGAGGCCTCTGTTGTGCTTTCTCTACATAATCCTTTCATTGTCAACAAAATGTATTCTTCTCTCCCTGAAAATATAGTGGACCGATTCCACATGGATTAGTATTTACAGAACATTTCTCTTACATACGGGTCCTTTATCAGCGCCATGTGTTACTTACTGAGATTGACAGAGCTGCAGTCATTTCACATCAAACCACTTTTTTCGTTTGATTGCAGGTCTGTCGATCATTGGGGTCAGAGCTCACTGACCCAGGCGTTTACAACAACAGACTCACTTTAATTATTACTGGGATGAAGCCGTGGTGATTTTGTAGTTTTCTAAGTCCCAGAGTGCTCAAAATGGCCGCTTGTGGCTGCAGGATTGTGATCCAGACCAAGCAGGAGCACAGCAGACTCCACCCATTTCTTCAAGTGAGTCTAGTCTTGACCTGAAGGCTTGACGTTTGGTGTGATCCTGCTCAGTTGTAGTGAAAACCTGCAGCCACAAGCGGCCCTTTCTGGAGCCAAACTGTGTACTGTAAACTTCTGTGCTGTGTGAAACATGTGGCTCATTCCCACTGAGCAAAAACACAAAGTTATTCACCCAAAAAGCCTAATGCCGCCTCTTTCTTACACACTGAGTGACATGGGTTGGTGTAGACAAATATCTTTAACCTGGTCTCTTTTCCAAGGCGTGTTTAGACAATTTAGACAATTATTACATGCCGCTCTGACGAAACCTTTACAGCTATAGTTAAAAAGCATTCACAGCGCATGTAAGTATATTTTCTATGTTCTCACAACTGTCCTATATTCAACTGAAACACCAACATGTCCTCACTTTGGAGTTTGACATTTCTCTGGGCTCTGATTGCTCCCATTTATAATAAAAGTAATTGAATCACCAGGACCGGAGTGCTCTGGTTATGGGCGGAGGAGTGAGAAGTTCTGCGAGATGCATTGGTAGGTGAGGAGGCAGATTTTGTATTGGATGCGTTGGATGATTGGAAGCCAGTGAAGATCGCGGAGGACTGGGGTGATGTGCTGGTGCTTCGGCGTCCTCGTCAGGATCCTGGCAGCGGTAGTTTGGATATGCTGAAGCTTTTGAAGGCTTTTTGCCGGGATCCCGACGAGGAGGGCGTTGCAGTAATCCAGCCTAGAAGAGACAAAGGCATGATCAAAGTTTATCTTGACTAAATCGGTGGAGCTGAAGTTGGCTGGATGTTTTTGTGAAATTATCTTAATGGCTAGCATGTGTTAACAAGGCAGCGGACCACAAAACACTTAGTTTGGACATAACTTTTCCGAGCCTTGTATAGGGTTGTAGCTTCACAAAACATCCAGCATTTCAGTTTTTTGTGTCAGAAAACAGATTAAAACACATTTGTTCAGAGCAAATGAAAGTTTATCACCATTTATGTTGGTCTGTAAATGCGCTATATAAATAATCATTACTTACCTTGATTGTGGGGATGAGTGGGATGTTTGTCAGGCTCATTAATCACCAGCATGTCACACTGATAAAATCTAAATCGAGTAAATTCCTCTCGCTTCATTCAGAAATCACGACAGCGATGACCCGGCAGCCTCCCGCTCTGTTATGATGCAACACGACTGCAACCCGGCCCCGCTCCCCTCGCCTCGCGCTCCGATGCTGGGATTAAGTCAGCCTCCGTCGGGGTGACCTCCACGGTGGGCTCAGAGGGCGCCAGATAATTCATGTGGAGAGACAAACCAAATGAACAGATTTTGTAATTAAGAGTATGTGTGGCTTTCTTGTGTTGTGATTTACTTCAATGGCTTCAAAATGTTCCTGCCACGAAGTAGGAACTGGGAAAATTATACGTGTCTGACTTTGTGAAGGAATATTGGGTTTATTTTGCATCTAAAACATGATCCTGAGAAAATTAACGTTTGCTTTTCATGTCAAAAACTTCAATGGTAGTCCCTGATCCGGGCGCCAGAACTCACCGTGTGGAGCTAATCTCACTGGTAAAGTACCATGTGGCGCAGAACTAAAAAAGGTCTCGTTATGATTCTCAAATCATTAAAATAAAATAAAAATAAAAAAACAGGATTTCTATCTTTGTCAAGCAGGTGTTGGTTATAGATTTGTTGGTCCCAGCTGGATTCGTCTACATATCTGGCAACCTGAGTCAGGGAGAGTGGGAGAGGCTGCAGTACCACTTTTGGCCAGAATTTGACATATTACTCCTTTAAGTTGTATGCACAGCTAAACATTGTCCGTGTCAAAGCCTGTCTCACATTTTCAGGAAGACTTTAACACATGTCCATCCCTATAATATACAGTATGTACAAACTTATCTCAGCCTCTTATTAACCTATTCTACCACCAGAGAGAGGGATTTCCAAAACTTATGGAGGATAAAAAGTGTAGAAAACAGATGACATATTATGGTATGTCCGGTGAGGTGAGGAGCATTTAGACAGAAGGGACCAAGGAGACGTGTTTGTGTGCGAAGTTCCAGATTAGAATGGCGCTTAAAACAGCGTCTGTTTTTTTAACGTGAGTACAATGTGGAAAATGGTAAAATCCGCAATATCGTTCCACCTTCAAACCAATAACTTGAGCATCGGCTGAAGTGGCCTCTGGAGACCGACGACTTTCTGCTTTTCTCCTGCGCACCATCTCCGGCTCAAACCATAATTGCTAATATAAATATTCTCATCTGACAAAGCCTTTCCCTACTCATACTCCCATTACAACATTTCACTCAAAGCTGCCCGGCCCTGATAAGACATGTACAGTGCGTAGTCCGTGTACGCAACGTTGTCTGACAGTTATGTAAAGGTGAAGCGTGGGCCTGATACCGCGCTCTTCACGCAGAAAAGCCCCGTCCGCGGTGCCTTCAGGGTTCCCGGGAGATCGCAGCGCCGTTCTCTCGACCTTGGAAGCGAGATTGAAGCCAATGGAGGAATCTCTCTGTGATTAGCCGCGCGAGAACCGGCGTACATTTTAATCACGGGAGAGAAGCAGCTACCTCTTTGCTCTTCTTTCTTTTGTCTCGAGAGATAAGCGCTAGCAAAATTCCAACACGCTTCCTCGGCCTTTCCGCAAATAAGAAAACATTCTACCGTCGTTCGCAAGTTAAGTTATTTATTTTCCCCCCTTCCAAGCTGTTCAATCTGATAACTCCATGAAAATAATAATTCCGCCAACTTCAAGTGCAAGAATGCTAATCGATTATTCTTTTTTTGGGCAGGGCATTTGTTTATCTCAATGGGGGAGAGAGCTGTGGTGGTGACAGCATGTCAATTTGCAGATCAATTGTTGGCTGCTTGCCTCTGGCCTTTGCATTGCATTTCCATAGTAATGAGTGGCGACCCTCCCTTTACAACCGAGATGTGGATTCCTCGTTCTGGCCAGACAAATGGTGTACCTGAAAGTAATTTGTGCCTCCACTGAATTATTCTCATTAGGGCCCAGTACTGTATATATTTACACAGCTATGGCGTCGTTACAGCCGGATCTGAGAGAACAATATCCTCCGGTTGTGTCATTAGTTGCAGGCGTGTTGCAGTAAAATGTGCATGGATATTTCACACTGCCATTATGCTATGTGTTATAGCTTTAATTTTTCTTTATGGTTTTTCATCATAAGTTGCCACAGGGCGTATAATTCGCTGCTGAATCTACGGTAATTTGTTTAATGGTTTCAAAAGGCTTCACGGTAACACATGCAGGCGTTTTTGCACATCGTATATATTCATATTCCAAACAATAAGAGAGAAAGGTTTCGCTTTAGTCCTGACCATTCAAGCCTTTAGCTCCGGACCAGGAGATGGGTCTGCATTGCAGTCGCTCCCAATGTTCATCACACAAAAGCCAAGAGCAGGAGAGTCAGAACTACTGCCTTTTAAGTGCGAGCCTCATGCACAAAAGGCTGCTCTACACTGGACCTAGTTCAATACATCAGGCTTTTATCACGTTCTTTAGGATGAAGTCTGTGGCCACATGTGTACAGCTGTGTTTGCGTTCACAGGTCTGTCTGGTTTCTCTCCTGTCCCTGTTCTTTTGTGTTAATCCACTGTCAAAATTACAGACACTGGCGGGATCTTTGGCGGGATCTTGGGCGGGATCTTGGGCGGGATCTTGGGCGGGATCTTGGGCTGGATCTTGGGCGGGATCTTAGGCGGGATCTTAGGCGGGATCTTTGGCGGGATCTTGGGCGGGATCTTGGACGGGATCTTGGGCGGGATCTTAGGCGGGATCTTGGGCGGGATCTTGGGCGGGATCTTGGGCAGGATATTGGACGGGATCTTTGGCGGGATCTTGGGCGGGATCTTGGGCGGGATCTTGGACGGGATCTTGGGCGGGATCTTAGGCGGGATCTTGGGCGGGATCTTGGGCGGGATCTTGATCTTGGGCGGGATCTTGGGCGGGATCTTAGGCGGGATCTTTGGCGGGATCTTGGGCGGGATATTGGACGGGATCTTTGGCGGGATCTTGGGCGGGATCTTGGGAGGGATCTTAGGCGGGATCTTGGGCGGGATCTTAGGCGGGATCTTGGGCGGGATCTTGGGCGGGATCTTGGGAGGGATCTTTGGCGGGATCTTAGGCGGGATCTTAGGCGGGATCTTGGGAGGGATCTTGGGCGGGATCTTGGGAGGGATCTTTGGCGGGATCTTGGGCGGGATCTTGGACGGGATCTTGGGCGGGATCTTAGGCGGGATCTTGGGCGGGATCTTGGGCGGGATCTTGGGCAGGATATTGGACGGGATCTTTGGCGGGATCTTGGGCGGGATCTTGGGCGGGATCTTGGACGGGATCTTGGGCGGGATCTTAGGCGGGATCTTGGGCGGGATCTTGGGCGGGATCTTGATCTTGGGCGGGATCTTGGGCGGGATCTTAGGCGGGATCTTTGGCGGGATCTTGGGCGGGATCTTGGGCGGGATCTTGATCTTGGGCGGGATCTTGGGCGGGATCTTAGGCGGGATCTTTGGCGGGATATTGGACGGGATCTTTGGCGGGATCTTGGGCGGGATCTTGGGAGGGATCTTAGGCGGGATCTTGGGCGGGATCTTAGGCGGGATCTTAGGCGGGATCTTAGGCGGGATCTTAGGCGGGATCTTGGGCGGGATCTTTGGCGGGATCTTAGGCGGGATCTTGGGAGGGATCTTGGGCGGGATCTTGGGCGGGATCTTTGGCGGGATCTTAGGCGGGATCTTAGGCGGGATCTTGGGAGGGATCTTGGGCGGGATCTTGGGCGGGATCTTAGGCGGGATCTTAGGCGGGATCTTAGGCGGGATCTTAGGCGGGATCTTAGGCGGGATCTTAGGCGGGATCTTAGGCGGGATCTTGGGCGGGATCTTGGGCAGGATCTTGGGCGGGATCTGGGGCGGGATCTTGGGAGGGATCTTAGGCGGGATCTTAGGCGGGATCTTAGGCGGGATCTTAGGCGGGATCTTTGGCGGGATCTTTGGCGGGATCTTAGGCGGGATCTTAGGCGGGATCTTAGGCGGGATCTTAGGCGGGATCTTAGGCGGGATCTTAGGCGGGATCTTAGGCGGGATCTTGGGAGGGATCTTGGGCGGGATCTTGGGAGGGATCTTGGGCGGGATCTTGGGCGGGATCTTGGGAGGGATCTTTGGCGGGATCTTAGGCGGGATCTTAGGCGGGATCTTAGGCGGGATCTTAGGCGGGATCTTAGGCGGGATCTTTGGCGGGATCTTAGGCGGGATCTTGGGCGGGATCTTAGGCGGGATCTTAGGCGGGATCTTAGGCGGGATCTTAGGCGGGATCTTAGGCGGGATCTTAGGCGGGATCTTAGGCGGGATCTTAGGCGGGATCTTTGGCGGGATCTTAGGCGGGATCTTGGGCGGGATCTTAGGCGGGATCTTTGGCGGGATCTTAGGCGGGATCTTAGGCGGGATCTTAGGCGGGATCTTAGGCGGGATCTTGGGCGGGATCTTGGGCGGGATCTTGGACGGTTCTTTGGCGGGATCTTAGGCAGGATCTTAGGCGGGATCTTACACAAAATGCCCCTGCTGCCTTCATTTCAGTTTCCAAGTTCAGTTTTTTTTTTCTCAGATATAAATTATTTGCTCTGATTTCAGAGCAAAGGTCTCTATGGCTGGTCCAAATCTTTAGAGCGAGACCCCCATCTTGAGACCCACTTTTTATTGCACTTACTATGTCTTTCTCTGTATTATGAATAAAGTGGACAGGATTTAATGTCTAATGTGTGTTGTGTTTATTGCTAGTATTTTACCACTTACAATTACAATTACAGTAGAGGGTGTATGGCTAATACTGACACATTTAGTAAGTAAGTAAGTCATCTGTTCTTATATAGCACATTTTTACAGACCAACGTCCTCAAAAGCACTTTCCGATGTTAAGAGTTCAGATTTTGTTCCAGTCTCTCCACACAAGGATGACTGAAGCAAGATGTCGAGCACACTGGTCCATAAAAGCCTCCGACCAAACACCCTCCACTCACTAACTCAGCCATTCCCAAACTCAGTAACACCGAGGCCCCCTTAAAAATCTGACGGGTCTGCGTGGCCCCCCAAAATAATAACCAAGAAGACAAAATTAAGAATAGGCTCTTCTGGTTATTTTATTTTGGGGAAATAGCCTCTGCTACAAACATTGTAATACAAAAATGATTACAGTGGATTATTCAAGTCAAATAATGAACACAAATATTTTAATATTACAAACAAAACATTATAAATTTAACATTAAATATTATTATTTTTTTTTTTATGACCTCCCGCGGCCCCCCTGCAGTACCCTCGCGGCCCACCAGGGGGCCGCGGACCCCACTTTGGGAGACACTGCACTAACTCATTACCTTCAGACCTATTGTACATGTTTTTAGTGCTAGGAAAAACCGAAGCACCCGGAGGAAACCTACGCACACACAACACAACGCCACTCAGAAACGCCCTGTTCTGACCGGGATTCGAACCCAGGACATTGCAGATTTAAAGTCACGTGTATTCGCAAATGCACTACGATATTGCTGCTGGAGAATTGTTTAACGAATGCAGAATATGACAGTTCTACGCTCTATTTGCCACATTACTTGCCTTTTTCTCACTCCTTTCTTGTTCAGACCGGAGTAGGTCAGATGACTCACTTCAGATATTATTCACCTGGCATTTCAATAATCTTCAGAAATAATAAGATCATGTTGAATCATGTTCTGGTGCAAAAATGGAAACAAAAGAACTGTAAAAGGAAATGTCAAAGACTCAAAGCAATTTGTCTCTTGTGGTTTCACGATCTGTAATAGAGCCGCTGTAATGTTGCAAAAGCACTCTGTAGTTTCACTTGAACTCTGCTTCTCGTACCGTTTCTCTCCCTGTGTCTTTCCGCCGCCATCTTCTCCTTCGGCAAACAGAAATCTGCCATTTGTTGCGGACAATTTAAACCGCTGGACAAACACGCGGTTATTGCAGAGCTCCGAATAAATGATGCAGAGCTGGTCCCTTCTGCCGTTGTCTTTAAATAATGCCACACGCCGCACGAGCCGCGGTGAAGAAACCATTAGTGCGTAATAGACAGTGAACGGTGAGAACGGTTTCTTCACCGCACGAGCCGCGGTGAAGAAACCATTAGTGCGTAATAGACAGTGAACGGTGAGAGTGTTCATGGCGGCCGGAGAGCAAAGGGACAACCACCGGATCAAACTATGATTAACCGTTCAGAGTGAGACAAATGTTCCGGGAGAATATTGTTATTGCCAAAGCACAGAAACACAGATGAGATTTGTACATTAGTAATTTGGAGCTGAAATAATAAAGCTGGAGGAGCCATCTTTGAACACAAAAAGACTGCTGTATATAGATTTGAAGATGATAGAGACGATTAGCATTAGCATTAGCATGTTAGCATGGATGACACGTGAAGCGTTCCCCATTTTGGGGGGCGACAGTAGATTTGTTTGCATTGGCCTTTGAGCCTGAAGGTTGTGGGTTCGAGCCCACCAAGACACCTTCTCCACTGACTCCCACTGATGACTGCTGTCGTTGTGTCCTCGGGCAAGACACTTAACCCCACTTTGCCTGAAGCCGCTGAAAGACCAAGGATCAGTGAGGGGCTGGTGCTGTGTGTACTGGGTGCAGCTCTGGCCACCCCCGACCCAGAAATGGATAAAGGGTTGAAAATGGATGGATATATTTGAGGATGTAGGAGCAGTAATAATAAAGTTATTCTTTTTTTTGTTTAGGGCAACAGTAGCTCAGTTGGTAGGGCGACAGTAGCTCAGTTGGTAGGGCGACAGTAGCTCAGTTGGTAGGGCGACAGTAGCTCAGTTGGTAGGGCGACAGTAGCTCAGTTATAAAATATATATTATAAGCCTCTACAGAAGGGTTGAGATGCAGTTTTATGGTAAAAGTGCCTCATGCCAAGTGATAGAAATGCCCCGATGAGGAAGATTAAGTGACTTAAAAAGTGACCCATGTAAACAACTCTTGGCTTCTAAAACGGTTTGGTTTCATCCCTAATCTTTGGTCTGTTACATCTTTACACCAGCTTTTTCAAACAAAAGTAAAAAATAAACAGATGTTGTGGTTTGTATTGATCTGAAAATTCATTCATCTATTTTTAACTAAACACAAATGTGGATCTGTTTGTCCACGTTTCTTAACATGTCTCCATTCATTGTGTTTTGCTGCTGGGATGGGTCGCAGAGGCAGAACGAGCATGGGCCATACTGTACTGCACCAACACCTCCTGCAATGAGGGGTCCAAGAGTCATCTCCTCCCATGGATAAGTGGCTCTACCCCAAGCTCTTCATGTGCCAGTACATCAAATAAAAATTATAAATTAAATCTAAGAGGAAAGGAACAGATACACACAAGTTGTTGTCCTGGTCTTCACGTAGCCTGGCGGAAACTGGGAACCATCCATTCATTTTCCCGTAGGAGGGGTGTGGTATTCCATTGTCCAAAGCTGTTTATTGAGTGCCTACAATGTTTATTATATTCTTCTACCCAATAGTAAGTGTGCCAATCGACAGAAATACAGCAGGAAGAAAAGAAGTGTAAAAAAATCCTAAAAAGTTTTCACAATGGAGCCAAACGATTATTGCCGTTTGTGGAAGTTAAAAATGAGGTAAGGTAGCGTCTACTGCCATCTGCTGGATCTGTAAACAAACTACAAGCTTCAGTCTGTGGAAAAGAGCGTCATCATTAATTGGCTGCCCCTCCCTGTTCTGTGATTGGTCCCAAAATCCATGCAAACAAATCTTCCTGAGTTCCCAGGCTGTGGTGCAGTTCTAAATAATATGATCATGGGTATTTCCAGGCTAGTCTCTTACCGCCATTTTGGATCAATCAATTGCCAAAACTGTATTTTTTTTGCGATAACCTTATGAGGGCTTGCCATTTTGTCAGGTACTAAATCAGTTTTCCGACAACTATCATATTCCATTCCGTCATTGCATGTACCTGCTGTATTCTGTTCTTCCCGCGTCCTCTGAAAATAACCGCTATCCCCGTCTGCATGTTCTGACTGTGACTAAGATAATCTCCGCGATGGAGGGAAAATGCATCATGCCGACGAGCCAGAGGGATGTGACCTTGCCTCGGGCTGAAGTTAAAGACCATTTTCAGAACTAAAAGGAGCTGCTTTTAAGATAACTCTGAGCGTAGGTTACATCAGACTCCAACGAGCGCCCGGCACAGTGCTCTGGACAAAGTGCTCCATAACACATTCTGTCTTTTCTTCCACAGACTTATGCAACCGCAGCAGCCGCCTTGGTCTGGCACATTGTCCAGCAGAGTTTTCATGTTCTGGCTGAGAGCATTCAGGTCCAGCTCTCTCTGCTGGTTATAGGGATGGAGCAGTATGGACATTTATATTTGATACACTTGCTCAAGCCGTTGCAAGAAGTGTTAAGTTGTGGTCGAGTCCAAAAATGCAAGTCTTGTTTTCCACTGACCTCACTCTACTCTACGTCATACAGATGTGTAGTGCTTCTACTGGACCTTTATACTGGTAATATTAATAATAATCCATCGGTTTTATATAGCGTTTTTTTGGACACTCAAAGAAGCTTCCAACCGGACCTAGCATGTATACAAACTGTCAGTGAATGTTATTTTTTGTTTGTTTGGCCATTAGTCTGCTGAGATACACACTCTAAACCCATTAGTCTGCTGAGATACATGCTCTAAAACCATTAGTCTGCTGAGATACATACTCTGAAACCATTAGTCTGCTGAGATACATACTCTGAAACCATTAGTCTGCTGAGATACATACTCTAAAATATTAGTCTGCTGAGATACATACTCTAAAATATTAGTCTGCTGAGATACATACTCTAAAATATTAGTCTGCTGAGATACATGCTCTAAAATCCCACTGGGAGAAAATGAGAAAGCTCAGGGTAGGTCCACATCGAGGGAGGGTTCTGCTCCCATGGACGGACTGTAGATCCAGGACTCGCTGCAGAACGAGGTCTGAGGCTGTAGATCCAGGACTCAGACTGTAGAACGAGGACTGAGGCTGTAGATCCAGGACTCAGACTGTAGAACGAGGACTGAGGCTGTAGATCCAGGACTCAGACTGTAGAACGAGGACTGAGGCTGTAGATCCAGGACTCAGACTGTAGAACGAGGACTGAGGCTGTAGATCCAGGACTCAGACTGCAGAACGAGGACATGCGATGATTAGAAGAGTATTGCATCTTTGCCTGAGGTTTGGAATAAAGTATGAACGTGTAACTTTCTACTCTAACCACACATGGGTTGGAAAAAATCTAATTGGTTGATACTAGTTGGAAAACACCACCATGGTCCCTGGATACCTTTACCCTCAACAATTTCAATATGTTTCTATTTTGGAGCTGCCCGTGCGAGACCATAAGACCTCAGAAGCTAAGTAGGTCAGTGATTGGTTATCACTGTGATGGGAGACCTCTGGGACCTCTAGTGGGACGACTGTGGCTGTAATTGTTGTGGCCTTAGGCAGGAAACTCCCCCTACATTGGCGGGTATAAGTCATGGTGTGTGGGTGAACGGACATCCAACTAGATGAGTTTTTAGAGTGTGGCCTTGAGGCTTCCATCCATTTTTTATGTAATTCTTCCATCATTGAGGATACTTGTTTAGTAATTTCCTCTGCAGAAAACCTCAAAATGACATTGGATACACACTGGATAATTACATAAATATCTGATTATCCATTATCAAAATGTCTAGATATGACCACTAGTAATGTAAGACGGGCCAGTGCACTGCAAAAAATTATTGTGAGGTTAAAAAAATAAAAAATTGAAGCACATTATGATTTTCCAACGGGACAAACCCATTGCGTCTTATTTAATGAACTTTCCCTTAGAATGAAAAATTAAAGGAAGAAATTTCTTGTATCTTTTCAAAACAAGATAATTTTGCTTTGACCCATTTGGAAACCTTGTTTTAAGGCAGTCAAAATGTGCACAAATTATCTACATTTTGCAAAAACTTATTATTATTTTTTTTTTTTTTACATTTTCAAGACTGCATATGTCTCGATGTTATGTTTGCGCTGAATCTTCAATTCCTCATGTATCTCCAGCTCAATGTTTGCAAACCAACCTCTTTCCACTTTTAGTAATGTACGTGTGAAGCTTTCGACGCAGCTCTCGGAAGAATTACTCATTTCACGTAATCAGTGGAACATCTTGGTTGGTTTTCTGCAGAGATTTTCTGTCCTGCTCAAGGCTTAGCTGATTATGTGTCTGTGGTCCGGTTCTTTCACATCCAATACTCCCTACTTGCCCTTATTATCGAATCCTTCAACGCCTATGTTAACCACTTAGGCAAAACCAAACCTGTATTTTCTTATGTGTCTCCCCTGGGAAGCTCTCAAAGTCAGATGACAGGCCATTGATTTTTTATTCCACACTTCTTCTCCAATGTAAATCAATGCATTTTCTCCCCCGGCCCTGGCACACAATTCAAAGTTGTTTTTTAAGAAAGCCCTCACCTCAAAATTGAAATTCTGTCAGTCCTCATTGGCCCTAAGTCACTCAAATCTTCTGTGAAGTTTAGAGGCCAAAAACACAATGCAGTCTCCTGAATAATGAGGCCTTTGCAAGGATTTTGTATCGAGCGGAGGACGCCCTTCAACATGAGTTCTGATGGACATCGGGCGTAGTTTTATACAGTCTCTCTGGTGTTTTATCTTCAAAGCATGTGCCACCCTTTAACAGCAGGTACTAGGGCTATTGTCCTTTGGTCAAAAGCAACGGCAAAAAGAGCATTTCATGTTTTAGAATGTAAAAATAAACAGTGAACCATGAAGAGTACGTCCCTCATTTGCTTCCATCTGACCGCAGATGTAGCTCCAGTTATTGTAGGACAATAACTGGACAATGTAGGACTCAGCCAATATGGAGCTTGTTCTGAAGCCCCAGAGC